TCCATTCCTGAGCACAGGAAGATCCCCAGAGGAGTGAAACAGCTCCCAAACTCAGGGAGTCCCTGTTTGATGGGGAGGCCATTGTCCCTGCCCTAGTAATTCACAGGCAGGTGGGACATAAATGTTCTCAGGATGCCTAGAAAGAGGAACACCAGCATCAGGAGATCCCAGGGACAGCCAAGGGTGGTGAGCATTAAGGTGCTGGGCCATGACCGGAGTTATGAGTTGTGAGGGCAGGTTAAGCAGAAAGGAGATTCATTAATTCACTAGGCTACGAAACATTTAACTTCTTTCCCTCTCACCAAAAAAAAGGAAATGGGTTAGGAGTTTTTCTAGGTAGTTCATTCTATCCAGGGGCAGTAGGGAGTGATCTCAAAGGACCACTAGGATATATTTTAAAGGCAAGGAAAGTTGGTGTTAGTACAGAGGGAAAAACCTTCCGGGTGCTAACGGAGTTGTCAGCAAAGGCCAATGAGAGGAAGCTAAGTGGCACCAGTGAAGACTCCTTGGCCTGCAGAGAAGTTATTCTCTCTCCCAAGAATGACTGCTCATCATGAGCCCTGGATGAAGCTCTGTCCCGGTCTCCACGTTCACACCTTACCATTATGTCCAGTGATGGATGTGAGGGTGGCAACAGTGCCGGCCTCCTCCTTGGGAGGCTGACACTGCCGAATGTCCCAGTTAATGTTCTTCTCCTTCCAACCACTCCCAACCTTCTAACGCAACAGGCCTCCTGGTGCCTGCCCCACCCCACCACCCACCCAGAGGTGAGGTCCCGAGAGGTGGTTCACCACAGCAACCCAACTCAAAGGACCAGCAAAGAGGGTTGAAGGCTTTATTCTTGTGTTTGAAGTTTGGGACATTTAGTGAAAAATGAAATTCACCAAATCCTTAGTGAGACAATTTCCTCTTTGTGCCACACTATACTAGGCACTCAGATGAGACTGGGAACATGACTGTGTGGGAATGGACAGAGTGGCCTTACTGGACAGCCAAGACGCACTCGGTGCAAGGCCTACATTCTGCTCTCCAGTCATCTTTTTCAAAGCCACTGCGTTCACTCAAGCTTCTGGTTTCTGCACATGCTGTTCTCTTTCCATTCTGGTGAATTCTTTCTTTTCAGACATCAGTTTCTCTGTAAAGGTTTTCCAGCCCAGGAACCACCCATTCACGCCCTCCTCGGAGTTACCAAAACGCTTTGCACATTGTTCCGTCCCGCACTTACTCTACGCTGTAACACTGATGTTATAATCAATGGTTTATCTCTCCAACAAGACAGGGTTGCTCAAGAACAAGGACCACCTCATCTATCTTTGTACTCTTTATTGCCAACAACAGTGCTTGGCACGTAAGGGGTCCCTGGAAAGTGTTTAGACAAAGGATGCGCATTTCCCGTCCTCAAGGAGTCTGTCTCTAGGGAACCAAACTTAACACTAGTCACTGAAATAAATAGCAGATGCCGCTTACTAAACACACAGCCCACAGTTCTGAACTTGTCCACATGCTAAACTTGCGACCCACTGCCCCAAAGTTAGCCCGCACTGGCCTCTGCCATCTCTACAGACAGCACCTAGATGTGCTCTGCTGCTCAGATGAGAAACCTGGGAGTCACCTCCACTCCTCACATTGAATTCATCATCTTCCAAAGCCTATCTTGAACCCACCCACGTCTTGCCATCTCCACTACCACTGTAAGTCCAAGCCACCCTCATTCCTGGTCTGGCAGATTTCCTTGCTTTCCATCTGACTGCCAACAGCCACCCCCATCTGATTTTTCCCACCTGATCATGACCTTTTTTTTTTTGAGAGAGAGAGTTTCAAGTTATTGCCCTGGGTAGAGTGCCGTGGCATCATAGCTCACAGTAAACTCCAACTCTTGGTCTCAAGTGATCCTCTTGCCTCAGTTTTTCTTTTTCTTTTCTTTTTTTGGAGACAGTCTCACTTTGTCACCCTTAGTAGAGTGCTGTGACATCAGAGCTCACAGCAACCTCAAAATTTTGGGCTCAAACTCACGAGCTCAAGCAATCCACCCGCCTTGGCTAGGATTACAGGAAAGTGCCACCATGCTCGGCCAGTCTTTCTGTTTTAGTAGAGACAGGGTCTTAATTTTGCTGAGGCTGGTCTCCAACTCGTGATGAGCCTGAAAAATGAAACGATGGACATGTCCATCACAGTTCAACAGTGTTCTAGAATAAACATGAGA